AGGTTTAATATGTCGATTCACTAATTTTTATAAAAAATTTCGAGTTATTTATTAAAAACTGCAAAAATGTACCCAGAAAGTACTAAATTAACACTGAAAATATCAAATTCGAATTTTAAACAAAATTTACAATCGAATTTTGTTGATAACAATATATATTATTATTCTAAAGAAAACCATTCTAAAAAAAAATGATTACAAAATAATCCTGCAATACAATATCAGTTTGTCTTGAACAAAATTTTTGAGTTATTTAATAAAAACTAAAAAAATGCACATGGCCAAGATTAGGTAAAATTTTTAAGTATTTTTTTTAAATAAATTTTGTTAGAAACATTATATAAATAATTAAACTAATATATACACAATTTATATAAGTTTCATGATAAATAATATAATTTACTTACCTAGAGAAAATTTTTGAAGTTATTTACCAAAACACCAAAAACTTACAAAAACACTTGTAAATAGCTTTTAAACACATTTACAACCCAGTATTAACTTCCAAAACATTCACGAATATTTACTTACAAATCTTTAACATAATATAATTTTTTAAACAAACTTTTTCTTAATAAATTTTTATTTTTTACAGATTTAAATCAACCACATACAACAGGGCCCTTAGATGGATCTTTATATGCAACTGTTGCAAATAAACCGAAACATCAAATTTCCTATCAAGTTACAGAACAAATTACTACACAAGGTAAATAGACAAATAAATAACATTATAAATAAATTTAAGAAATATATAAATTTAATTTTATTCCCCAGTTTTGCCTGGAAGACAAAATGTCCCCAAACAAAGTGTAATTTCTCCCTTGACTCTTTCTATGGACAGTGGAATATCCACAACAGGTAATAATAGATAAATTATTTATTGATAAATAAATTCATTAATATTATTTTTTTATTATTAGGTCATTCCTCAGGACACAGTAGACACCAAACAACAAGTACAAATTTTTCTACAAATAATACTCCTACCCCTAATAATAATTTTAGACTAAATTCGGCTTGTTCGGAAAATAGTTCTTCGCAATTGAGTCAACCTTCACCTGCAGGTAATAAAAAAATTATATTAAATTTTAAAAATTAATTATTAAATAAGTATTTAGTAAATTTTATCTAGTTTCTGCTATGCTAACTAAAAAAAGAGTGTCCGGTACAAAGTTTTTTTTAGATATTTAAATTAATGCAGAAAAATGTCCTGAAAATTATGTAATTGGCTTCCAGAGGGTTGTCGGGTTAAAATTTATTTTATCTGAATTTTTTCATTGGAGTGTATATAACTGTTGGCGTGGATTTTTAGTAAATTTTAGTTTCTGCTAAGCTAATAAAAATAGAGTGCTCGGTACAAAGTTTTCGAGTTTTTCAAAAAAATTTAGAAAAATGTCCCAAATTTTCTATAACAGACTTGCAAAATTGGGCGAATGAAGACCTAATTTATTAGAATTTTTGTTTCCGAACCTTCAAGACAGATTATATGAATTTTCACTAAATTTTATCTAGTTTCTGCTAAGCTAATAAAAATAGAGAGCCCGGTACAAAGTTTATTTATTATTTATTATATAAAATCATTGTTTATAATATATACTTTATGCTAAACTAACTTAAAAGGAGTATCTAACACATTAAAACATTATTTAATAGGTATAATTTGTAAAACATTCATAGCTAAGAGTAAAAACAGAAGTGTAACTTTTCCCAAGATTTTCCGTGTGCACCTTAACCTAAAACAAAGGGTCGATCCAGGTTGCGTGCACTTTTAGGCAAAAACAAGCCCCTAACTGTATTTATTAAGAAAACAATATACAATGTGAAGTCAATTAATAAAATATGATTTATAATACTATTATAAATATTTTTTTATTAAATTTAGTACAACCCTAAGTATATATTATGTATATTGCAAATCGCAAACTTGGACATATTGTAGCGAGTTCAAACCTAATTTATTTGAATTTTTTGTATCGGAGTATTTGTGATAGATTATAGGGATATAAAGTAAATTTTATCTAATTTCTGCTAAGCTAACCCAAAAATAGTACCCGGAACAAAATTTTACAGTTATTTGAAAAAAATAAAAAAATATGATTATTCAGTTACAAATTGAAGTATATTTATTACATAAAATCGTTGTTTATAATATCTACTTTATGCTAAACTAACTTAAAATGAGTATCTAAAACAATTATGTATAATTTGTAAAACATTCATAGCTAAGAGTAAAAACAGAAGTGAAAGTTTTCCCAAGATTTCCCGTGTGCACGTTAACCTAAAACAAAGGGTCGATCCAGGTTGCATGCACTTTTAGGCAAAAACAAGCCCCTAACTGTATTTATTAGGAAAACTATATGCAATATGAAGTCAATTAATAAAATATGATTTATAATACTATTATAAATATTTTTTTTATTAAATTTAGTACAACCCTATGTATATATTACGTATATTGGGAACTTGAACATATTGAAAAACAACGAGTTCAAACCTGATTTATTTGAATTTTTTGTATCGAAGTGTTTGTGATAGGTTATAGGGATATAAAGTAAATTCTATCTAGTTTCTGCTAAACTAATAAAAATAGAGCGCCCGGTACAAAGTTTTCGAGTTATTCGAAAAATGTCTCGAACATTATAGTACAAACTTACTCTTTATAAACTGGAAGTCAGGCGTTTTTGGGGCACAATGATTTCATTTTGAATTTATTTCTAGAAAAATTTGGTTAGAGAGTTTAAATTTTTTTATATGCCATTTCATATATAATTTATCTAAGTTTAAAATTGCATTAAAATATTTGTCAACTCAGAGTAATTTCTTTTAAGTTTTTAAATAAAGTGTGAAAAAAAAGTACTGGATTATTTGAAGGCACTAGTTTTGTGAACAATATTTTGATTTTGAAGTTATTTCTAGAAAAAATTTGTTACAGAAGAATATTTGAATCAGATGCCATTTTGTGGATAACTTATCTATGTTTAAAACTGCATTAAAACATTTGTTAATCTGGAGTAATTTTTTTAAGTTTTCAAACAAAGTGTGAAAAAATTCACTGGTATATTTGATATTAATTATTATAAATTAAATACCAGTATATTAACAATTATCCTTTATCCTTTTTTCAGAGGACAAACATCGTGAACTGGACGAACTCTTAAGGGACATGATGTCGAATGTCAGGGATATCCCAGATTTGAGAACAAGGGCCACTTTGGCAGAACCCACTAAGAACACAAAATCGAGTGGAAGTGGAACCCACAATTCTTCTTCGGAGTTCGATTTGCACAGAGAACACTCGGAGCCGGGCAACTCGAGAGAACGGTACGAAATTTTTGATAATAAATTAATATAAAATAATTTATTTATATATATATACATATATATATATATAAATTTATATTTGTATATATTTGTGTATTTGTTGAGGGAATAATAAGTGCACAAAAGTTTGCAAGTTTTGTGGTAAAGTGCGGTGAAAGTTTATGTGTGCATTTATAAAATTTTCAAGTTTAATGATTTTTTTAAAAGAAATTTTGTTAAGGAGTTGCAAGTTTATTATATGCCATTTGGTTGATAATTTATCTAAGTTTAAAAGTGCGTTAAAATATTTGTTAGTCCGGAGTATTTTTTTTAAAGTTTTGTCCGGAGTATTTTTTTAAAGTTTTTTCCAAAGTGAAAAATTGTACCGGTATATTTTTTAAGGAAATTGATTTTTTAGGGAAGTTTTTTTTTTATTGAAGAATTTTGTTGAGGAACTTCAAGTTTGTTATATGCTATTTCTTAGATAAGTTATATAAGTTTAAAAGTGCGTCAAAATATTTGTTAGTCTAGAGTATTTTTTTTAAGTTTTTGAATCCAAAGTGAAAAGTTGTACCGGATTATTTTATTAATGAGATTTATTTTTTGGGAAAATATTTTTTTAAATAATTTTGTTAAGGAGATTTAAGTTTGTTATATGCTATTTTAAAGATAATTTATGTAAGTTTAGAAGTGCGTCAAAATATTTGTTAGTCTGAAGCAATTTTTTGAAGTGTTTAAATCCAAAGTGAAAAAATGTATAGGATTATTATATTGGAAAAAATTATTTTTTGAGGAAATATTTTTTTTTCAAGAATTTTGTTACTGGGTTTTGACTTTGTTATATGCAATTTTGTAGATAATTTATCTAAGTTTAAATCTGCATTAACATATTTGTTAATCCAGAGTGAATTTCTAAAGTTTTTGAATAAAATGTGTGAATGCTCACATAATTACTTTAAAGTTTCATACGTCTTAAAGTTTTTCTCAAGTTTGACTTGATTTTTAAGATATATTTTGTTAATAACTTTATACATTATTATATATCATTTTGCTGGTAATTTATCTAAGTTTAAAACTACAATCACTACAATCACCGAATCACTTTGATACATTATGTTTTTAAAACCTTTCTTTTGTAACCTTTCTAAAACTCAAAATTTTTATACCGTGGTACTATTTTTTTAAATGCAGTTATAAACACAATGAAATTGTGTATAATTTGACATAAAACAATATATAAACTTATTAACAAAATCTAATATCTAAAATAATTTAAAATCATATTTGCAGTATAATTTCGAGTAGTTACCTTTTTTTCACATTTTATTTATTATCTCGAAAATTTTATTCCGTGGTACTAAATTTTCAAATGCAGTTGAATACTTGAATAAATTGTTTATACTTTGACATAAAATAATAAACAACTTTGTTAACAAAGTTTTAGGTAAATTAAATTTAAGTTCATTGCACTATAATTTTGAATGGTAACTCAAAACTCAAAACATAACTCAAAAATTTTACTCTGTGGCACAATTTTTTTTAATACAGTTTTATACTCAGATAACTTATCTTTATATATATATATATATATATATATATATATATATATAAATGTATATGTCTGATTGTATAAGACTATTGGAGCGTAACCTTATATGGTCGGAACGACAAATTGATTCAAATTCAACAATTTGCGGAGTCGTAAATACAGGGCCACGCACTTGGAAGAAAAGGCTATAAATATATATATATATATATATATATATATAATTTTATAGTTCATTTATCTGAGTTCAAAACTGCAATAAAATATTTAGTACCATAAAACAAAATTTTCGAAATATTGAGAAAAATATAAAAAGTTGTTCCCATTTTAGTTAATGCCGTAATTATGATTTTAAAACTAATTTATTCATTAAATTTTATTAAAAAGTTTATATATAACCATTAAGAAAATTAGTAGCACTGAATAATTTTTTTGAGATATTAAATAAAATATAAAAAATGTACCAGTAGTAAAATTTTATTTTTTGACTCAAATATGAAGTTAAATTAATTAACACACTAATTTTTTTTAGTGAATATATTTTTTATTTTATATCAAATTATGCAAAATTTATCAGTGTTCTGAACAAAATTTTTGAGTTATTGAATAAAGTAATGGAAAATGTGTTCAATATTAATACGTGATATATTTTTCCGTTTGTTTTCAAAAGCCATTTTCAAGTACACTGAATTGCTGTAAGACAATATGATGTTAGACAATATTGTAGATTATTCAATTTTAAATAAATTTCCCGAATATTTCATCAATTTTAGACAAATCGTTCGAAAGTTACAATAAATATAACAAATATATGCGCGTTCCTGATTTGGAACTAAAGCAGTTGCTACACTACAATTTAACAGGGTCCATTTTTATTTTTGAGGGCATTTTAAAGTATACCGAGTTGCTGTAGGTCCTTATTATCTCAGACAACATTGTAGATAATTTAATTTTGAACAAATTTGCTAAACATTTCACTAATTTTAGACAAACCGTTCAAAAGTTACAACAAATACAATAAATAATTCCACAAATTTACCTCTAACATCACTGATGGCCGAAACCGCACTTTTCCAATTTTGTGAAAACTATTGAAAAATGTGAAAATGCCGCCAAACTAAGCACAGTGTAAGTGAAAACGCCGCACAGAATTATTTGCAAATGCGTTTAGACTGTGACTATACGGGAGCACTTTTTCAATTTTGTGCAAATTAAGGCAATTATTTTTTTTTAATTGAATTGGAAATGAAATGACAATTATTAATGTTCCGGAGATAAATTTAATTATTTATAAAACCAGGTTTAAAATCAAATTTCCTCTTTCCAGTTACCACCGATTCGATTATTCCGGTTACAACGAAGAACCATCAACCCCAAGTAACATCCCTTATCACGCCCGTGAAGACAGCGAGCCCTTCAGTTACGGCCTGGTGCCATCAGGAGGAACCAGATCGTATTCCCAGCAATCTTACCAAAGATCCAGGAGCGATGCCAACTACAACCAGCCTCTAGAAAGTCCTTCGAGGACTACAAATTACCATTACACCAACGGTGGTAGGCCAGGATCATCCCTTAGCAATCGACCAGGATCAGCAGCCAGCGATTATCCTCAGTACCAGGGTACTTTGAGACGCCAAGGAGGTGGATATACAAACCAGGATTTAGGACAAGTCCGTCCAGGGTCTTCGACTGGTAACTATCATCATCAGGATTTGCAAAGTGAGCACAGTACTTTAACCAGGCAAGGTACATCAGGGTACCCGAGTGCCCATAGTACGTTAACCAGGAGCTTTTCCGATACTGTGACCAGGAATCCGGTTCCTGAAACTTTAAAAGGCGACCAGGATTTGCAAAACGCTTCCATCATGATCAGGATGCGTCCTGGTTTGTCCAGTCCGAGTCTGGTGAGGAAGATTACTGGAAATACTGGCGACTATTCAGGCAAGTTGGAAGAAATCTGTGTATTTGTGGTGTATTTGATCATTTTGGCAGTAGCATTTTTACATTTTTGTGTTTTGTCGGGGAACTGCTGGACCGATTTTGATGAAACAAAAGCCACTCGATTGGTATTGATGATGCTCCACATGTACTATTTTTTTTCTAAAGTCAGTTCCAAACTGTTAGCGCATAAAAATGACCAAAAATTCTTTGCATTGGTAGAAGTACTTGTAGTTTTTCACGTTTTTTTCGAGAACGGCTGAACCGATTTTGATGAAACAAAAACCACTGCATTGTTATTGATAATTCTCAACAATTACTACATTTTTTTAAAGCCAAGTACAAACAGTTAGCGTATAGAAATTGCCAAAATAGTTGAATCAAACATACTTCACTTTGGCAGAAGTATGTGTAGTTTTCTACGTTTTTCTGAGGAACGGCTGAACCGATTTTGATGAAACAAAAACTACTCGATTACTATTAATGATATTTAAAAATTACTTGATTTTTTTTAAAGCCAGGTTCAAATACTTAGCGTACAAAAATTACCAAAAATAGTTGTCAATCATTCTTAATAGAGTAATTAATAATAGTAAGTTCTTAATAGTAGAAGTATGTCTAGTTTTATGCGTTTTTCTCGAAAACTGCTTAACCGATTTTGACGAAACAAAAACCACTCGATTACTATTAATGATGCTCAAAAATTACTATATTTTTGCTAAAGCCAGGTCTAAATAGTTAGCGTAAAAAAATACCCAAAACAGTTGTATCAAATTTTTTTAACATTGGCAGAAGTATGTGTACATTTTTACGTTTTCCTAAAAAAACCTCTGAACCGATTTTGATGAAACAAAAACCACTACATTACTCTTGATAATGTGCAACAAATGCCTGGATTTTTCTAAAGCCAGGTTCAAACAGTTAGCGTATAAAAATTACCAAAAAGTAATTAAAACACTAATTCTTAACTTTGGCAGAAGTATGTGTAGTTTTCTACGTTTTTCTGGGGAACGGCTGAGCCGATTTTTATGAAACAAATACCACTGGATTACTTTTGATGATGTGCAATAAATTCTTGGTTTTTCCTAAAGCCAGGTACAAACAGTTAGTGTACAAAAATTACCTAAAAAAGTTGAACCAAAACTTCACATTGGTAGAAGTATGTGTAGTTTTATACGTTTTTCTCGAGAACCTCTGAACCGATTTTGATGAAACAAAAACTACACTATTACTATTGATGGTGTGCAAAAATACATGATTAATTCTAAAACCAGATTCAAATAGTTAGCGTATAAAAATTACTAAAACAGTTGAGTCAATCATTCTTAATATTGACTGAAGTATGTCTAGCTTTATGCATTTTTCTCGAAAACGGCTGAACCGATTTTGATGAAACAAAAACCACTCGATTAGTATTAATGATACTACAGAATTACTATATTTTTGCTAGAGCCAGGTCCTAACAGTTAACGTATACAAAATACCAAAATAGTTTAATCAATCATTTTTAGTTGGCAGAAGTATGCGTACATTTGTACGTTTATTTTAAGAACGGCTGAACCGATTTTGATGAAACAAAAACCACTCCATAACTATTGATGCTACGCAACAATTACTAACATTTTTCTAAAGTAAGGTCCAAATAGTTAGCGTATAAAAATTACCCAAAATAGTTTATTCAATAATTTTTAACATTGGCAGAAGTATGTGTACTTCTGTACGTTTTTCTCGAGAACCTCTGAACCGATTTTGATGAAACGAAAACTGCACGACTACTGCAATTAATATGCTCCAAATCAATTATTTTTTTATAAAAATTATAAAAATCTGATTAGGTTTTTTTTTTATTTTTGCAGCAAGTGACGCCTACGCAAGTTCATCAGATTACGAAGGACCAAGTACTCCCAAAAAACAGGAATTTAATCTAAATGGAACTTCCAAATACGACAGACAGACCTCCGACGATGTTTTTACAAGTAAGTGTAATATGGAATTAATTAACAAAATTAATATCAGCTCTCTGTCTAGGTTTAGTGCAAACGCGTGCATTCATTTATTGTACCTCTTGTAACTCTTGTTCAAAATAAATGAAATATTTAGCAAATTTGTTCTAAATTAATTAATCCACAATATTGTCTAATATAGTAAATCCCTAAAACAAGTCCTTATACTCAAGTGCATTTGAAAATAGTATTTGTGTTCACGTACTTACATTTAAATTTTACTAGTAACAACGTGTTAGTAAATTTATTTATTGCATCTCTTGCAACATTTAAACCGTTTGTTCAAAATAAATAAAATATGTGGCAAATTCATTCAAAATTGAATAATTTATAATATTGTCTAATACCATAATGCCCTACAGCAACTCGGTATACCCAAAAACCTCAATCAACCACAGAAAATGAAACAAAACACTATTATTAAATTATTTTCTACCGCGCGCTTCCCGGAATTTTAATGGTTTTTTATTCATTTTTTCCACAAAATTAAGATTTTTTTTTAAATTTTTTTTTTGCAGATAATATGAAATATTCAACAATGATGTCTAGAAGTAATACCGATGGAGCTTTGAGGTCCAGAAGTTACAGTTTGACCCAAAACAATACGAATACATACAAACCCAGTTTTAACAGTCTTACAGATAGGTAAGTTTTGATAATTTTTTATTTATTATATACAAATGATATAAACGAAAATTTATTTTTGTATAATATTTTTAGAATATCGTTTAATACAACAGTCTAATTTTCAGTTAATTTTGAATAGATGGTGATTAATTAAAAATATTTTTATTTAAAAGTGTAATTACAATTTTCACTCACATATTTTATTTAAATTTTTATGTTGTATTTTTATTGTTTTATAATTAATTTTGTATTTATTATATATATATATATATATATATATATTTATATTTATTTCCAAATATTTATATATAAGGTCGTTTCAAATTTATTTTATTGCAAGTCCCGAAAAAAACGATTGTTTGCCAAATTTGGACAACAAATATTTTTTATTTTGCAATAACATGAGAAAAACGTAGGCATTATTGCTGGAATCAATGACATATCAATTACTATTATTTATACATATATATATATATATATATATATATATATATATATGTATATATATATGATTGTATAAGAGACGACCTTAGTATTGAAACCGGTTTCATCATCAATTGAGACAAAATTTACATGTTTTTTGTTTGAAAAGTATGTAATTGTTATATGCAGTTTTAAAGGTAATTTATTACTGTTTGAGATTGCATGAATAGTTTTTATATTTTAGATGAATTTTTCTGAGTAACGAAGTACTAATCCGAAAATAGTTTGGAAAAATTACGCAAAATTTGGAAAAATGTTCATATAGACATAATTCGTGTTTACAAGAATGCTAAATTTATATATATATATATATATATATATATATATTTATATATAAATTCAACGTAAAATGATTGAACCTTGAAAGCATATGGTCAAGATTAAACAAATATGTGAGTTATGCAATGTAATCGTTTAAAGCAGTGATGGACAAGTCAAAATAAATATTTAAATGCAAGACTTTGCAACAAAATTTATTTATAACTTGTAAACTAATTGCTAAAAATAAATAGTGTATTTCGCAAACTTGTGCAAAATTAAATTGTTTATAATATTATCTCATATCAAAATGATACAATTGTTTTAAGGATTTATTTATTCGTTCGCGGTGCATTGAATGATTTATATCTTTTAAAATATTTGTTGGATTTAAAAAGTATTTTAGGAAAAAATGTTTAAAATTAAATGAACAATAACATTGTCTAACAATAAAAATGCTCTACAACATCTCGGTATACTCAAAAATATTTTTCTAAAATGACCAAATTTTGTCAAAAATTATTTTGTTGCGTCTAAGCACTTTAAGTATGAATTTCGCAACAAATCACAGTTTTTTTGGAGTCCAAAGTACAAAATTAATTTCTACCACATGTACCTATAAAATACAAACTTATAAGGTTGTCAAATATCTCCCTTCCGCCTTTTTGTATTATAAACCAAGAGCAAAAAAGCGGAAGGGAGATATTTGACAACCTAATACATAAATCTTTGTCCATCATTGCTCAAAATCATTTATAATTATCTTGCAAAACGCGTCCACAAATACACACAAATCATCGAGCCGTATGTTATTAATAACTGAATTTTCGACCATCATTCAACGTTTATTACATAAATAACTATTTTTAATAATAGCACAACTATTTAAATAGTTTATTAAAAATAGTAAAAAAAATGTTTTTGTACTACAATAGATATAAATATAATTTATGAAAGTTATTTGTATATGTAAACGCACGCGGTTTTGTAATATGTGGGTGAGGCACCTTTGCGAATGAGATAACATTGTAATGGACACTACTTTTAGATTTTTAAGGTTTATTTGAAAAAATTGTTTGATTGATAATTATATTTTTATGCAGACTTTTGGACAGATAAATTACCTATAAAACTGTATATTAACTTCTCAAAGGAGAAGTTTATGTTTTCATCAAAAAATCCGATTCGCTAATTTTATGTTTTCTCGACGTTTCGAGCCATTCTGAATCGAATGAGATCAAATTTGAAAAAAGTATGTGTGTGTGTGTGTATGTGTGTGTGTGTGTGTGTGAACAGATTTTTTGCCGTAAATCGACGTTTTCTCCAAAACGACTGGACCGATTTCAAAAATTTAAAAGCCATTTGATGTATCTCGATGAGGACTATCGTCTCTGAGTTTTGTGCGGCGATCGGCCTGGCCGTTTCTTTGTAAATTGCAGAAAAGTGAAAAATTTTTCGTCCACGTTTTAGCCCGCAATTCTGAATCGATTCTGAAAATTCAAAAACCATTCGATAGATATTGGTTGGGAATCGTGCTGATTAGTTTTTGGTAAAGATCGGCCGAGCCGATTTCTTGTAATAAAGTTTTTTAAAAAAAAAATTCGACGATTTTTATGATTTTTTTTTTTGACGGTAGATACCATAGTTTTCTAGGTCATACTAAAATATTACGACCCTACGACAACTCGTTTAGCTTTAAACATTCGTCAAAGTTTGCAAAAATTGGTATAGTTTTTTTGACATTTGTCAAAATTAGACTTTTGATCGACGTTTTCTCAAAAGCGCCTGAACCGATTTCAGAAATTTAAAAGCCATTTGATGTATTTCGGTGAGGACTATCGTTTGTCAGTTTTGTGCGACGATCTGCCAAGCCGTTTCTTTGTAATTTGAAAAAAAGTGTTAAACTTTTCGTCCACATTTAAGCTCATCCTACCAAACCGATTTTAAAAAATCAAAAACTGTTCGAAAGATATTAGTTGGGAATGATACTGATCAGTTTTAGGTGAAAATCTACCGAGCCGTTTTCTTGTAATTAACTGTTGAAAAAAAAATTTAAGCCGATTTTTATAGAATTTTTTTTAGCGATATATACCATGGTCTTATAGAACTTACTGAAATATTACGGCCTTACGACAAATAGTTTGATTTTAAAAATTCATCAAAGTTTGAGAAAATGAGTAGCTCTTTTGACATTTGTTAAAATTAAAATTAGACTATTTACTTGGTATAATGATAGAGTACTTGGTCTTGAACATAATAAACCATTAAAGTCCTGAAAACTGGTTCAATTATATAAAATTATTGATTTTTGAAAATTTGCTTTTAGAAAATACTCCGAGTCAAAGTGTTCGTTCGTTTTCAATTATGTGTAATAAATCCACTCGTAATACTTTTAATGACTCATAAAATAATTTATTTTTCATTGATTAAGTCGATTATTTAAATATATCGGGAAGTTCATGTAACTTGCCTCAAGGCTAAATACCAAACCAACTAGTTTAAAATTTGTTTTGCGATACTAGAAGTTTACAGAATTATTATCTGAATTTTTTTTTAATTATCATTGAGGATTTCGTAAGATAATCGATGCGGCATAAGGCCATTCTTTTAGATTTTTAAGGATTCGACTTCTACCGTATCACATTTCATGCACTGTTTCGAGTATTTTGTTACATTTTTTTAAAAATCTCAAATTTTTTTCCAAAAGTGTAGTAAATGTTATATATGGTTAGAAAGGTAATACAATTCTCTACAGAATGGTGTAAAAAGTTATATAACTCTTCATCCAAAGTTATCTCCAAAATCTACCTTTAATTGCAGAAATTTGTTTTTATACTTTTTTCAAATTTTGTCAAATATCTCAAAAACTTTCTTCCACATACAGCAATCATTGTATATCATTAAAAAGCTTATACAATTCTTTACAAATCGGCATCCAAATATTCATACATCTTCATTCAAATATATTGATAAAAATAAATACTGCAACTGCAACTTCTGCCTCCAATTTTTTTAATTCCTGTTCCTAAAATCCCATTATAAAATGCATTAAGACGTAACCCAGTTCTGTTTATGTGCAGATGATGAGATCATTTAGGATTAGAAAACTAATTTTAACTTGTTTTTTGGATTCGGGCCAAAAAATTACACAGACTTTACCTTCGCGGCCATTTCGAATGCAACCAGTGTTTATTTTTTATAGGCGTGGAAATCGCCGTTTCCGTTCTGGAAATATCAGACAGGTGAGGAAAAGGAGGATTTTGGAGGTGACTTTGGTAAAAGACGTATGAGGATTTAGATACAGATTTATAAAGGAATTTATGGGCTTTCTAATGATGTATAATAGTTACTATGTGTCGAAGAAAGTTTTTAGGATTTTCGATAAAACTTGAGAAAAGTCCAAAGACAAATTTTGGAGATGACTTTGGATGAAGGGTCATATAACTTTTTACACAATTCTGTAGAGAATTGAATCACCTTTCTAACAATGTATAACATTCATTACACCTTTGGGAAAAGTTTTGAGATATTTAAAAAAAATGTAAAAAAAATACGCCAAATGTTCCATGAAATATGATACTGTCGAGGTCGAAAGTATTTCAGTTTTGTAAATATTGGACAGGTGAGAAAAAGGAGGAATTTTGAAGGTGATTTTGGATGAAGACATATAAATATTTATATACGAGTTTGTAGAGAATTCTATAAGCTTTCTAATGGTATATAATAATTACTATATGTGGAGAAGAGTTTTTGAGATTTTTGATAAAACTTGAAAAAAGTTCACACAAAAATTTGGGCAACTAAAGCTAGATTTTGGAGATGACTTTGGATGAAGAGTTATATAACTTTTTACACCATTCTATAGAGAATTATATCTCCTTTTTAACAATATATAACATTTATTACACCTTTAGGAAAAGTTTTAAGATATTTAATAAAATGTAAAAAATACGCAAAATATTCTATGAAATGTGATATGGTAGAAGCCGAAGGTATTTCAGTTTTGTAAATATTGGACAGATGAGAAAAAGGAGGAATTTTGAAGATGACTTTGAATGAAGACATATAAATATTTATATGCGAATTTGTAGAGAATTTTATAAGCTCTTCAATGATATATAACAGTTGCTTTGTGTAGAAAAAATTTTCCGAGATTTTTAGTAAACTTTCAAAAAAAGTTCGAGATGTGACATGATGCAAATCAGCTTCATTTCTACCTAAACGATATACTCCATATAACTTGCCTTAAGGCAAAATATAACTCACACCTAGTTTTATTATTTTCACCAATTTTTCAAAATTTTTAACCATTTTTTTGCTTTTTTCAGCCCGACTTCTCCGACGCCAACTCCGACAGGTTTGACGTGGCTGCAAATGCAGCAGCAAAAATTGCTGCTGCGGAAGCAGGGTAAAGAATTCAGCAGAACTAATGGTTACAGCAGCATTTCTACAAACCAGAGAAACTATAGCAATGATTTTAGTTCAGAATTTAATTATGGGAAGAATTCTAGGCACTATAGACCGAGCGCTAGTCACAGGTGAGAGGAAAATTTATGTGTGCATTTTGCCTTAAATGTCTTGTAACTTCCAGATTAATTGTCCTAAGTATATAGTATATTAGACAAATTTGTTGAAAATTAAATTGTTTATAATATTGTATAACATCATAACGCTCTAAAACAACTCTGTGTACTTATAATTACCATTTGAACTTAAATAATGCCCTCGAGTACTTTAATCGAATTTGTGGCTATTGCTGTTATTATTAAGGGTGTCTATTATTTTTAGTATTTTTAAATTCTAATTTATTTTATTTTCTAAAGGGCTGATGGATATACAAGTGATACAACAGCTTTTGCAGACGATGATGAAGATTGGTCAATACCAATACATGTGGAAACTACCAGGAGTGTCCAGGAGTCACCAGATTTACCACACAGGTAAGAAAAAAATATTATATACTGAAAAATATTTATTTGATTGTATTTGATGTAGTAAGAAAATAAAAAAAAATTGTTTGATATAATTAATAATTACAATATTTGGTTGTCAAATATCTCCCTTTCGCCTTTTTGTATTATAAACCAAGAGCAAAAAAGCGGAAGGGAGATATTTGACAACCTAATATATATAAATAAATAATTAAAATTACTACGTATGCTAAATTGAAATTTACTGGTTTCATCAAGTGGTTTCAAAAATTTTTTTATATTTTTCAAAATAACTAATAGAAATTTCTCTGAAGTGTATCAAGTGTTATATATCGTTTAAAAGCTAATTAAAATCTCTATGAAATTGCATTTAAATTTCATTATGTCTTATTAAATATATAACTCTTGGATGTTTTCTAATACCTTCGATTGGGACATTTTTTCACGCTTGCCAAAATAACTAATACAAACTCTTTTAAAATGTTATAAATATTATACACCATTGTAAAGCCAAGATGCCATTATAATAAATAAATAAAAAAAAAGCCAGTAAACTTTTCTACAATTTTGCATTAACATTTATGTGCACATTTATACACATTAATTTCAAAAACTTGCATCAAAATCAGAATTCTGTGTCTATATTGAGAACAACTCTGAAATTCGTCTTCCAGTACTTTTACTTGGGACATTTTTTTACGTTTACCAAAATAACTCTTCTAAAACACTATAAACATTATATACCATTGTAAAGCCAATAAAATTATCTACAAACGTGCATCTATACTTTAATACACTCCTTTACAATGTTTTTGCAAAAACTTGCACCAAACTCCAAACGTCTTACTCTCTCCTCAGAACTACCCTATACTTTGTCTTGCAATGCTTTTGCTTGGGACATTTTTTCCCGTTTATCAAAATAACTAATACAAACTCTTCTGAAATACTGCAAACATTATACACCATTGTAAAGCTAATACAATTCCCTATATAACCCTGTTCATACTTCAATACACCCCCATACAATTTTTTCTCAAAAACTCAACTAAAACTCCAAAATTTTTTCCAACCCCCAAACCTCTTTCACCAGGACTCTTTCCTACGTTTAAAAAAAAACTAACACAAACTTTTCTAAAACACTTTAAACATTATACACCATTGTAAAGCTAATAGAATTCCCCACAAACTTGCATCTACCTTTTAATACACCCCCATACAACTTTCTTTCAAAAAACTCACCCCAAACCTCAAATTTCTGTTTTTTCTTCAGAACCTCTTCAAGGAAGTACCATACAATGACAACATCCGGAAACAAGATGACGACTTCCGGAACATTTTCCGGAAACGGAACACTTTCACCCGGAAACGGATATAATAAAATGGTGTCGGAAAATTACAAAATGTCGTCTTCGGATAATAAAAATGAGAGGCCTTTTGTTGCAGTCAAGAGACAACATGAGATGAATAAGAAGATGAATTTTTCGAGCTCGGTAAAAAAATTAAATAAAATAATATATATATATATATATATATATATGTATATATATACACCTAAGTCTGTTTTTACACGGAGATTGGTTCCAGAAGAAGCCGTGTAAAAAAAAACGTGTAAAAAAAGACATTGATCTTATACAAAAATGGGTGATTTGTCCTACTCTCTAAAACCTATTAAAATGAGTGAAAAACAAGAATTCATGTTTATTTTAATAATAATTCCCCTAAATTAGTGCTATTCACATTTGCTTTGACCAGTAAAAATTGTTTGTCCGCGCTAAAGGGGATTTCACTTAAATCTTTAAGCTAGTGTTTGCAAACTATCGATACTATCGATGGTTTCAGACTTTTTTCTTTCATAAATACTTTTTTGTGATATGAACATACTTCGCAAAAAATAAATTTGACAAAAAAATTTATGTACATAAAATTTCAAATCGTGCTAAATGGAATAAAATCGTGTAAAAAAATTAAAAATATTCAATTTTCAAACCGTGTTATATCAAAACCGTGTACAAAAAGACCGTGTAGAAACAGACTTAGGTGTATATCTATATATATATATATATATATATATATATATATGTATATACATATATATATATATATATATATCTTATATATAAAAATGGATCGCAAAATGTGTTGGTAAGCGCATAACTCAACAACAACAACGCCTGGACCAATTTGGCCAATTCTTTTTTTAAAATGTTTGTTGAAGTCCAAAGATGGTTCTTACGGCGAGAAAAAATCGAATAATTGCTGTGAAAACCCTAAAAACAGCCCTTTTCTTTTTTACATACAAACATTTTCTAACTAAAACGTAGAATCACTTAACGTTGCATATATAAGGTTGTCAAATATCTCCCTTCCGCCTTTTTGTATTATAAACCAAGAGCAAAAAAGCGGAAGGGAGATATTTGACAACCTAATATCATTTTATTCGTAATTTTAATTTGCATTTTTCGTCCGAACAAAGCTTTTTCGTATCTTTTACGGTTTGGATTCGATGTTTAGATGTTCGATTCTTAGATCTTTCCCATATTTTGCAACTTCGAATTCCTAACGGTGTGGCCTACAGGCGAGTTGCAGTAGTAAAATTCAAGGAAAACTAGAAAATCTCGAGAAAATTATATGAACACACTTAACGATTTATATATCATTTTATTCGTAATTTTATTCTGCATCTCATATCCAAATAGAATGTTTTCGTTTCTTTTACGGTTTAGCTTGGGGTATGGAATTTGTGTGAATATTCAATTGTTCAAATGCAAAGTACGGTTAGGTTTGAGCAATAAGCCACACTGTTCGATATTTATCTAAAAAAACCATATAAATTGTTAGATGGAACTTCAAGTCACAAGGGCAGACAATGAACTTATTTTATTTATTTATTTACTTATTTATTTATTTATTCATTTATTATACGCCAATCGGCTATATACAGTAATTTTGCGGAATTAACTTAAAAAATGCTATATATATATACTATATACTATATACTATTAACTATATGTGGCTTACTCGAGAGTTAGAAGTACAAACAATTTAATTATTTATGCACCTACAGGTCTGACAAAGAATATTGTATATTCTGTTAATTGATATATTATAAATAAATTCGTTCTAAAAAATGTCCTGTAAAAATATTTATATACAATGTTAATGATCATATTTCGATATTTGTCTGTTTGATATATTAGGTTGTCAAATATCTCCCTTCCGCTTTTTTGCTCTTGGTTTATAATACAAAAAGGCGGAAGGGAGATATTTGCCAACCTCATACGTTATATGTTGTGATGTAGCTGATTTTGGTTTTTACTGTATAATTGAAATTTAGGTGTAGAAATTGTACATACATTTCGGTATAGATTGTAGTGTAAAAACATTAATGATTACTTTAAATAAACGGTAAATATCAGTATAGGTTTTTAAAAAAAATGGAGTTTATAGGCATGGGTACAGGAAAACGTCTGTCGGGTCAGCTAGTATATATATATATATAAATATATATATATATGTAAATATTTTTTTTATATTTTCAGGGTTCTTTAAACAGAAAAGACGAGCTCGATTCCTTCACCCTCCAACCATACACCGAAAAAGAAAATATAAGTCCGACAAGAAAATTTACTGTAAGTATTAATACAAATACAAATACAATTTTCATACATTTTATTACTTCGACAAAATGCATTTTTTCTGCACAAGTCCTACTCATCAATTCACCAAAAATTCATCTATCGTTTATTTAATTATTTCCTATTAATTTTTTTTCTGTTTCTAATTTTTTTGGTGGAAAAAAGGAAACGAAATGCTTTCGTGGAAAGACACATAATATAATTTATAAATTCACTTCGACAACTGTGCCGATTACAAATAATAACGGTCCACAAAAACGCTGGAAGGTAGTTAAAGATAAATTAGATAATAAGATAGATTATCTAGATTTAGTACTTTAAAATAAAAATAAAAATTTATATAGAATTAACTCATATTTAACTCATATTAGTCTGAGCGCGCGGTTTTGAGATAATAATCACAATTTTTTGCGTGGTTTTGGTAAGGACTTTTAAGTACACCGAGTTGCTGTAGGCACTTATAATGTTAGACAATATTATGAATAATTTAATTTTGCACAAATTTGCAAAATACACTACTGAAATCAAACGCATAGTTCAAAAGTTATAAACAATTTAGTAAAAAAAACGTGCCGGTTGTAAAAAATGTGTTTTTCTTAAGCACCTGAACGTAATTTTAAGTATAACAATTTTTTTATGTTCTGAGCATATTTTATTGATTTTTAAGTATACCGAGCTGTTCTAGATTCTTTTTTATTAGAAAATGTTGTTGAATGTTTAATTTTAAACAATTTTTTGATATTAACTATTCAAATCCGATGAATAGTTTAAAAGTTATAAATAATTTAGTCGATAAATCCATTTTTAACCGTACGCAATATAGCTGATATTCTATTTTATTTTAAAAGTATACCGAGTTGTTTTAGGTCATTATAATGTTAGACAATATTAAAGACTGTTTAATTTTAAACAAATTTTCTGAATATTTCATTAATTTTGCACAAACCGTTCAAAAGTTACAAGAGATATAATAAACAAATCCACAATTACTAGTAAAATAAAACACTTCACTATAATTTACCGAATGTTTCGTTTATTTTGCACAAACCGTTCAAAGGTTACAAAATAAATGACTAGTTAAATTACTAAAGACGTCGTTACTATAAATACTATTTTTAAGTGTAATTTTAAAGTATACCGAGTTGTTGTAGAATATTATAATATTAGACAAACTTATACACTATTTAATTTTGCACATATTTGCCATATATTTTATTAATTTTACACAAACCGTTTAAAAGTTACAAAATAAATAATAAATAACTAGTCACTGAAGACGTCGTTACTATAAATACAATTTTGATTCCACCTATTTTCCGTTGCAATTTTAAAGTATACCGAGTTGCTGTATGCCCCTATAATATTAGACAAAATTATAGATAATTTAATTTTGAACAAATTTTATTAACTTTGGACAAACTTAGTTTCTTAGTTTTTAGTTTAAAAGTTACAAAACATATAATACATAAATGCACCAATACGTTGAAACCAGTAAAATAAGAAACAAAGTATTATTATCAATTTTGAAGTACATCAAAGTAAGTACTAGCTTCAATTTTAATTTTGAAGTATACCGAGTTGCTGTAGGGTATTATAATATTAGATAATTTAATTTTGAACAAATTTGCCAAATATTTCATGTATTTTAAACAAACCGTTCAAAAGTTATACAAGATACAACAAACAAATGCGTAAATACCTGTACAAGACTAATATGGGTTAAAAAAATATTTTTTTGCTACCAACAAACGCACTTGGTACTAATATTTTATTTTATATTTATTTTTCCCAAAGACTACCAAAAAAGAGGAATACATCATGAAAACCACAACATCTCCTGGTGCAATGAGTCGTCCAGAAACACCAGCTTTTCCAGTAGCACCAAGAACACCATATTTTGGACACAGTTCCAACCAACTTCAACAATCCAGGGAACAACATCATCAACAGCAATCTAAAGAATACCATCAACAGCAACATCAATCTAAGGAATACCATCAGTCCAGGGAATTCCAGCAATCAGCCAAAAAAGAGTACCATCAGGAGTACCAAGGAACCAGAAGTGGTCAACACCAGCATTTCTTTGGGGAAAATTTTGGAGAAAAATCAAGGACTGGTGAAGTTCAGGCTGCTTTGCCTCCAAAAAGCCCCAACATGCAACGGTAAATGATAAACAAAATTTTCTAAAATTATTTTTGTTTTTTTCCCTATTTTTTTTGTTGATTTTTGTGTTTTTCCAAAGACGTTTGAGCAACTCCTCGAATTGGTCCAGAAGTACAGAGAGCACCCTTAAGGGATCAGTTAGGTAGAAAATTTGTCAGAAAAATATTGAAAAAAATCACCAAAGCATGATAGAATTTAGACACATGTAAAAAAATGATTATTATTATGCTTGGATTTATTTTATGACAGATTTTCAAGCATTACAACATTTCTTTGCATTTTTTTGTGTTTTTGTTTAGTTAGCATGTTTTACCATTGGATGAGATAAAAATTAACAAGATCAGTCGACTCATTTTTTTAGGTGTTTCCAGTGTTACTAATTGGATATAGAATTTGTTGGGAACTGAGGTGGAAAAACTTGAAATTTGTGATAAAACCTAAAAGTCTTCATTTTAATTATTGTTTGGATATATTACTCAATTTTTTTCAACAGATTTTTGATGAAATTTTTGAAAAAATTTCAGAAGCGAAATTTGTGCATCTACTATGATTATTATAAAATTACTATTCTTTTAATATTAATTATGAATAAGCTTGACAAGAGCCTGAAATAATATCTATTATTATTGATTACGGCTTGCTTATGAATGAATAAGTAAACTAGCTGTAAGTGGAATTCTGTCTGAGGCAATTATGGCATCGTGCCTTAAGGCAAATTGCTGGAACTTCCCGTACCGTAACGAAATGTTCGAGAAATACTGAATGTTTTCAAATAGATTATTATAAATATTGTAACATTGTCTAATATTTATAAGAATTATATAAACTGAATTGCAGAGTTGAAATTATTTGTAAAGTATATTAGAACTATAGTCAGAATTAAAAATAAAATCTGAAATATTTTCGATATACAAAAAACTAAAAAAAAAAAAAAAATGGAACAAATTTTTTTTTCCAAAATCAATTATTTTATTAAGACAAGCAGAAAGTTCTTTGAATCATTTAAATCGGACGCTTAGTTCTCTCAAAAACTGCCATTTTTTACATATTTAGCTCCGTATCTTCAAAATGGCTGGGCCTGCCTTTGCAAAAAACTAATAAACACTTCTCCCAATCATTACTAATTGAATGTTTTTAGATCATTCAAATCGGATACTCCGTTCTCTCAAAAATTCGATTTCTATTTTCTGCATTCTTTGCTCCGTATCTCCGCAACGGCTGAACCTGCCTTTGCCAAAAACTAATCAGCTCTTTTCCCTATCAATAGGAATCGAATGTTTTTTAAACACACACACACACACACATCCATTTTTTCTGAGGTATGCCAAAACGTTCAGAAACCTTCAAAACGTCGAGAAATGTAAAAATTTTCAATTCCGATTTTCGGCCCATTACAAAAACTTACCCTACGGGAAGTTAATAAATAAATAAATAAATGAAAATTAATTTATATAAATTTAATATAAAGAAATTTTTGCTGGTATTATTTAGTTTTGTATTTGAGTTTATGGAGAACATAAAAAAATATATTTATTTAGATTATTTAATTAATTTATTTAGATTCAAAGAATATTTTTCATAATACGATATTTGCGGTTTGGCTTAGGACATTTTTTTACGTTTGCCTAATTAACTAATACAAACTTTTCTAAGACTCTATAAAAATTATAATAAAATTCTCTACATGCCTGTATTTATACATATATACATCTCCATACATATTTTTCTCAAAAAACTTGCACCAAAATATATTGCAATGAAATTCCCTAATTGTCACCAAAATATATAGCAATGAAATTCCCTAATTGTAAGAATAACCTATGATAAAAGTTTAAAAGCGATTTTAGAGTATACCAAGTTGTTGTAGGGCACTATAATATTAGACAAGTTTATACATGATTGAATTTTAAACAAATTTGTCGAAGGTTGTATTTACATTAGACGAACCTAATAAAAGTTACAGAATATATAAAAAATATATGCACTAACAAAAAACTGTCATAAAAGTTTTGTCTCGGTTTGAATGTGGTTTTAAAGTATACCGAGTTGTTGTAGGGCATTATAATATTAGACAACTTTATAGACAATTTATTTTTCTCAAGTATATCATTTACCCTAGACAAACCTACAAAAAGTTACTTAGGTTGCAACAAAAAAAAATGCATCAAGACGTAAAATCTAAGTAAACACCAAGTTTTTCCATCTCAGCTCCAACTTTGCACCCATATATCAATTCCAAAAATAACTTTAATAAATTTATTATATATTTATCCAATTAATTATCAATTTTTTACCATTTATTAGCCGTGACCACAATTACCAGTACAGTACCGAAACTTTGTACAATACCGCCGGAGGAGATTCGAATCGATTCAACAATTCGACAATTACGAGACGAAATGTTCCACTTTCGAATCTTGAAAATTCAATGCAGCAGAACGAAATTGTCCAAGAGGTAAAAGATAATTGATTTATAAAGTTTAGTAATTGATTTACTGATTTTCTGAATTTTTTTTGGTGCAGGTTTCCCAGGCAAATGTTAAATTTGCGAGAGACATTTCCAAATTTTGGTACAAGCCAAATATTTCTAGAGAGGATGCTATTGCTTTGATTAGACATCGACCACCAGGTAAATAGATTTTTTTTCAATTTTCATTTATTTTTTCAAGTATTTATTTATTTATTGATATACTTGTTTATTTATTTTTTTAGTACAATACATACATAAAAATTGTCAGAGCTAATAAGTTCATATAACACCAATCAAATTGTAAAAAAAATGAATTTTCAATAGCAAAGTTTTATATTTTTTTTAAAATATTTAAAATTGTTGTAGATAGTTGTAATTTCAGTATGTTATACTTCAATGTGTCTACTTTGACTACAATAACTAAAATTAATAAGGTTTCTAACAAAATTTTAAAATAATTGCAATTATCTTGACGAACTACCCCGTCATCACAATGATCGTTAAAAAAGAATGAACTCTGAATAGCAAAGTTTTATAATTTTTTTAAAATATTTAGAATTATTGTAGAAAGTTGCAATTTTAGTATGTTATACTTCAATATGTCTACTTTGACTACAAATACTAAAATTAATAAGGTTTCTAACAAAATTTAAAAATAATTGCAATTAACTTTACGAACTACCCCTTTAGCACAGTCATCATTAAATTATATCAGATTTAAAAAAGCATGAAATCTTATTAGCAAAATTTGATAATTTTTTTAAAATATTTAGAATTGTCGTAGATAGTTGTAATTATAGTATGTTATACTTTAATGTGTCTACTAAAACTGCAAATACTTAAATTAATAATGTTTCTAACAGAATTTTTAAATAATTGCAATTAACGTGGCAAAGTACCCTGACATCACAATGATCGTTAAAATAAAGATTCAAAAAAATATTAAAGAATTTAACGTTTGTCTAGAATGTTGAAATTCAAGTATGTTATTTTTTAACATGTCTACTATGACTACAAATACTAAAGTTAATGAGGTTTCTAACAAAATTTAACAATAACTGCAATTAAGTTGACAAAGTACCCCGTCATCATAATGATCGTCAAATCATAGATTAAGATTTTAAAAATTATTAAAATATTCTACTTTATACTAGAATGTTATGATTTAAGTATGTTATTCCCTTATATGTCTACTATGATGACAAATATTAAAATTGATAAGTTTTTTAAGAAAATTCTGAGATATAATTAAAATACTCCGTCGTTGCATATAAATGCAAATGATACAAAGTCGAATGAGTTGAGTTTGAAAAATTTATTAAGTCATTTATATTTATACTAGAATGTTGTGATTTAAGTATGTTATTCTTTAATATGTCTACTATGATGACAAATATTAAAATTAATATGTCTTCTTACAAAATCATGACTTATTAACCACTTTCCTTAAAAATGTACCTCACTTTTATTCGAGACTCACAATCAGAATAGTGCATACAAATTTTCAACCCTTTAATAATTGTGTCATCATCATTATTATAATTAATTTAATTGACATTTAGTATCTTATAGACAATATTATTTTCATATGTTTTTTTATTAATTTATGTATTTTTTTTCAAGGAACTTTCATCATTCGAGATTCAAATAGTTTTCCAGGAGCTTATGGACTTGCAATGAAAGTTGCAGTTGCTCCTAAACAACAAAATGGAACCACATCAGGTAAGAATTATAATACAAACACACACACACACACATATATATATGTATATATATATGTATATATATATTATATATATATATATATATATATATATATAATTTTTATTACAAATATAAATTATTTTCAGGATCTTTACCTGGTGACGAACTAGTTCGTCACTTTTTGATCGAACCAACAGCTCGAGGAGTTCGTCTTAAGGGAATTAATGACGAACCAGCATTTGGTAAGAAAATTGTAATATATACAGGGTGTCCCAGAACTCAACGTCAAAATTAGAAAAAAAACGATATTACGTAGTTTGAAAATTGAGTTTTTAAGTGCAACCTAAAGCTTCGGTGTAATTATGACCAATTGGTTAATTTTTTATTGATTTTGTTTATTTAAACTTTGGATCCGCAACCGTGAATAATATTTCAAGGACTCCTATCAAAAACAATAACATAGTTACCTCAATTTTTCCAGAAAAAAGACTTTTTGTTGAACAATTTGAAATTTCAAAAGTCGGTCGACTATGAGAGGCCCTCCTATAAAAAAAATGTACAAAAGTGTGATGGCAAGTTAAATAAATTTATATATTTTAAATAATTAACCTAGAGAGATTATTTTTCAAATTTTCTTTACTTATGTTATTTTTGTCCCTGTAGGTAGTTTATCAGCCCTGGTATACCAGCATTCCCTAACACCTTTGGCCCTACCATGTGCCCTTCTTTTACCAGATAAAGAATTAACACTTCCTCATAAGCAAGACGATGTTTCTCTTCAGCAGCACCAAATGCTGTTGGAACAGGTAAGGGATAAACAAATAATTATAAAATTAATTAAATAAGTTTATTATTTTTTAATTAATTTTTTTTTTAATTTTTTAGGGTGCAGCATGCAACGTTTTATATCTATTCTCTTGCGACACCGAAAGTTTAACAGGTCCTCAAGCTGTTAAAAAAGCTGTTTCTAGCTTATTTGCTTCGAGACCTCTTCCAGCTGCTACAGCTGTACATTTTAAGGTAAATAAAAAATTAACATATTGGACATTTATTTTCAAATAACCCTACAACAACTCGGTATACCCATAATATATCAGAGAAGTCAAAAATATTTTTTACTCTGTATGTTACGTAAGTTCGGTTCTAAAACAGTTTTGGCCATAATTTTTGTTGATAAAATACAGTTTTGAGTAGATTTTTTTTCTTTTAGGTTTCTACCCAAGGTATAACCCTGACAGACCCTTCAAGAAGCCTTTTCTTCAGAAAACACTACAAGGCCGAAACAATTTCGCATTGTGGTCTCGACCCGGACGACCATATGTGGAGTGTTAAACCCGAAAATGGAGACACCAATGCACAACCAATAAGCATCAAGTAACTAAAAAAATTTTTAAAAAAAATCTGCATCATAATTTTATCTATTTTATATTTCTTTTTCCTTTTTAGTCGAATATTTGCCTTCGTTGCCCGAAAATGTGGCCCCTCCGTTGGAAACCAATGCCATGTTTTTTGTGAATTGGAACCGCATCAACCGGCTACTGCTATAGTGCAGTTTGTTCATAAAATTTTGCAAACTGTTCAACAACATCAACAAAATAGTTTGCAACAACAAAATGTTTTGTGAATGTAAAGGTAAAGGTAAAAAATTCACAAAAGTTTAAAAAATTACAAAAGTTTTGTAAATGTTTGAAATTTTGGTCTCGGGATAAAAAATAATAAATTAGGATTTTTATTTTAAAAAAATTAAAAAGAATTTCAAATACAATTTAATTTAGTAATTTTTACTTTATAAGTGTCTCTACGTTTCGAAAATTGCGATATTAAGAAAAATATTTATATACGTTTTTATTTCATTTTTTTAAAATAATTATTCATGATTTTGAAACATTTAGTTCAAAAGCAGCTTTATTTTCTTTTTTTTGTTCCACTTTTTTAGTAAAAAATATTTATTTAATTTATCATTTAAAATTATTTTTACGTTTTGGAATTCTGTGTTAACGTTTTCTTGAGGAATTGTTAAAAACATACAAAAAATTGTATACGTTTTTAATTATTTAAAAATCGAAAGAGTTCACTTTTTACCTTTGAAGTATTAAAATTAAATGAATAATAATATTATTTATCTAATATTAAATCATTAATATACTAAACAAGTTCAGTATATTAATGGTTATCAATGGTAATATTAAGCTCACAACTTTGCTTCCGCCGTTTTTTTCCCAAAAAATGGGGCAAAAACGGCGGAAGCAAAGTTGTACACTTATTTATTGTCTTTTTCATATATAAAATAAATATTTTGAATCAGATATTATATTTAAACATTATTTGACGTTTTAGACAATTTAAACAGCTTTTCATAAGTATATTTGTTTTTATATGATAATGTTAGGTGTACAACTTTGCTTCCGCCGTTTTTTTCCCAAAAAATGGGACAAAAACGGCGGAAGCAAAGTTGTACACTTATTTATTGTCTTTTTTATATAAAATATGAATATTTTGAATCAAATATTATATATAAAAATTACACTACCGAATAGACAATTCAAAGAGCTTCCTAACGGTATATTTATTTTTATTAGTGTTGCATAATTATTTTGAGATATTTAAGAAAAACTGAAAAATGTCCGCTATCAAAATCTAATATATTTGCGTTTTCGATATAATTACTTACAACAATTAAATATATTTTGAACCGTATTTAATATATAAAATTGAACTTAATTTTTATTTAAATAGCTTCCCAAATACATACATATTATTGTTTTTGTAAAATAAATTTTGAAAGAAATTTTTGAAAAACTGTAGATTTTAATAAGAACATTAGTTGTACAACTTTGCCTTCGCCGTTATTGTAAAGATCTAGTATTGCAAAAATGGCGCAAGCAAAGTTGTATTTTGAATGGTCATTATATAAATTTTGAATGAAATTAAGTGAATAAAAATCAGATGGCTTTATAGACAATTTAAACAGATTTTTAACTGTATATATAGTTTTTCTTGTGTTGAACAAATTTTTAAAAATATTTATACAAAACTAGAAAAATATCCTAGTAGTCTACCGATTAATACAATTGCTGCACGTTTTAGCTAAATTTTAAATATATTTATAATTATATATAATATTTAATTTATAAGCAAAATAGTTTTATCAGATTTTCAACTGTATATTTAGTTTCTCTCGTATTGAATAATTTTTTTAAAATATTCATAAAAAATCGAAAAAAGATCCCCGAATTACATCTAAAACGCATATTTTCTATATATCAAGTATAAAATTCAGCGGTTCTTTATAGACCGAGACCAAAATTAGTTCTATATTTACAAAACATAATTTTTAAAATAAAATAAAAAATATTAATACTCATATTAGCCCACTGTGCTATTTATAGTGCAACCTAAATTTTATTAATAATTTTTTAATTGTATATTTATTTATTACATCTCTTGTAACTTTTAAACAGTTTATTTAAAATAAATAAAACATTTGGCAAATTTGTTCAAAATTAAATAATCTATACAAAAAAAATATTTTTTTGGGTTAATATGAGTTTAATCAATAAAACAAGTATTTTTCTGCTAACGGTTTCATATTCTGTGAAATTGTTAATCAGAAAAATAAAATAAAATTTAAAATGCTTAAAAATGTTGTTATTAGTGCCTCCATATATTATATATATTTTTAAATGCTTAATTGTAAAATAACTAACTAGTCTATATTTATACAAATATATATATATATATATATATATATATATATATATATATATATATATATATATATATATATTCAAATGCATGTAAAAAATCAAAGATTTATTTTTAATATATATTAAATATTTATAAAATTATGATCACTGCTAGTGCCATTTTAAATATTACATAATTTAAAGCAATATAAATATTGTTATTGGCCTTAAAAAATTAGCAACTTATATAGTAATAAATAAATAAATCATTTATTTTAATTATATGATTTATTTATAAATTTATTTTGACCAAGGTTGTCATATCATCACAAATGTTATTATTATAATTTTGTCTACATAATTTAAGTTGTATATTTAATTTAATTTGTATTTAGATTATTATTATTATTTTAATTTTTATGTTGAGTCGATTATGGTGCTTTAGTACATCACTATTATAATTATAAATATATATATATATATATATATATATATATATATATATATATATATAAATATTTTATGCAGCTACTTACTTATTTATTAATATATTTTATCAGATATAACATTTAATATAAAAACATACACATATATAAGCTTATATATATATACAATATACTAACATATGATTAACAAGTCAAATGTATATTTGCATAATAAAATCACTGATGTTTAAAACATTAATAGAAATTGACTTATTTGTTTATTATTATATAAATATTACATCAATTTTAATTAAATAAATTGTGCAGAAAAATTAAATCTTTGTTTCTAAATAATGAGAAATTTACCCCAGCAACGCACAGACATTTTTGGAATTTTTAAATTTTTATAAATAAATAATAATAATGTAGGTTTTGAAATTATTTTTATAAAATACTAGAATGTTTTAGGTATTTGTCCAAATTTATTCCAAAGTTCTATTATTATTTTCTTGGAAGATATTTGCTAAAACATCTTCTTAAGTTAGAATCGCCAAAGAATTATTTTAGAGACATTTTTTTAAAGTTTGATTTTTTATTAATAAACATTAAAAGTATAGAAATCGGTAATATTTTTGTAAAATATTTAAACACATAAGGTATGCAACAGGATTTATTCTAGTTCTTTTATTTTTATTTTTTTTTAAGATATTTATCAAGATCTAAACGCATAATAGCTATTTCACTTTAAAAATCTGAAACGACATTTGTAATACATATTTGATTTTTTACAAATTAGCAGTTGAAATTTATTTTTTGAAATTATTTTTATAAAATACTATAATGCTTTAGATATTTATCAAAATTTATTTCAAAGCTCTATTATTATTATTTTAGAAGATATCGATAAAAGTAAAAATTCTTTTTTTTTGTTGTTAAATTTTTTATAAATAAACAATAGCATTTTAATATTTGGAATTATTTTTGTTAAATACTAGAATGCTTTAAATATATAACAAAATTTATTTCAAAATTCTAGTATTATTATTTTAGAAGATACTTAATAAAATTTTATAAAATACTAGAGTACTTTAGGTATTTATCAAAATTTATTTCACAACACTATTAATACTATTTTACAAGATATCCGTAAAATATAAAATTAGACTCGTCAAGGCTTCTTTTAAGGACATTCTTGAAGAATATGATTTTTTAAAATAAACCATAATAATATAGTTCTTGAAATTATTTTTATAAAATACTAGAATACTTTTTCACATCATATCATTTGTGTAATTTTAATGAAATAACTTTATGTGCACATTGAAATTTACAAATGTTGTTTTATTAATTAATTTTACATAAATGTAATTTATAAAAACAATCCAGATAATAAAAGTAGAAAGAAAACTATACTAAACTAAATTGCTGCTAAAATGTTGATATTAAAAACTGTGTTACCAGTCTATATAAATACACGTTCTATGCTCTATGTTTATTTTGTGTTGTAAATATTTTTAAAATAAATCAACAGTCAGTGCTGTCTGGGACTTGGTTCAACAAGTGTCTTTATCGTAATAATAACTTCACAAGTCATACATTTAGATAGATTTAAAGTTAAAGTGTATTTTGTGTGAAAATATGATTTGGGTAAGTACCAAACAAATGTTTTATATTTTACTTTTAAGGCAAAGTGGTTTATATTTATGTATTTATAAACATTTTGGCAAACTGTTGGGCGTAATTCTGAACAAATATTTGTTTCAACACATTATGATATTTATTCAAATCCAAAACAATGATTAATACATGAATTTGTTACATTAAACGTCAAAATTGAGTTATATTGTTTAAGGTTAAACGTCAAATGTGAAACGTCAAACGTCAAAATTGACAGTTGTTTGACAGCTGTTCATTTCCAAATGTGTTTTTAAATATTTTATTTATTAAATATTTTATTTGAGAATAAAACCACAAAAACTTGATGAAAAAATCCGTGGATAGATATCTTTAAATTAATTAAGTCGAACAGGTCGCATTTAGTTCATTTTTTCTTACTTTTTCAAAACTGCTCAAAATCAGAAATATTTCAATAGAGGAAAATACGTTTTTTCATTGTTCAAACAAAAGGTGTGTTTTTTATACAAGAAAATACGTTTTTGAATGTTTTGTTGTCAATATTGTCACTTGTTATCAATATTTCAAAATTTACATCATAAAAGGGTCAAAAATTTTAAATGCTCTTTGCAAGTAATGTTTTTTAACTTCCCGTAGGGTAAGTTATTGTAATGGGCCGAAAATCGGAATTGAAAATTTTTACATTTCTCGACGTTTTGAAGGTTTCTGAACGTTTTGGCATACCTCAGAAAAAATGGATGTGTGTGTGTGTGTGTGTGTGTGTGAGTGTGTATGGATACACATTTCCAGTCACGTTTTAGGGCGCACGGATCAACCGATTTGAATGGTTCAAAAAACATTCGATTCCTATTGATTGGGAAAAGAGCTGATTAGTTTTTGGCAAAGGCAGGTCCAGCCGTTACGGAGATACGGAGCAAAGAGTGCAGAAAATAGAAATCGTATTTTTGAGAGAA